ATCCCCACCAATAATGTAGGAGTGTTCCCCTTTTGCCGCATCCCCTTCAGCACTTATCATTTTTGTTTATTTTATCTTTGCCATTCTGATTGGGGTTAGGTAGTATCTCATTTTGGTTTTAATTTTCATCTCCCTTACAATGAGGGATAAGGGAACATTTTTTCATACGCTTTTTGGCTGTTCATATGTCTTCCTTAGAGAGTTGTTTATTCAGATCATTGTCCCATATTTTAATTGAGTTAAAATTATTTCCTTCCAGGGTAGTTGCTTGAGTTCCCTGTGTATTAGGGTTATCAGTCCCTTATCTGAGGCACAGTTAACAAAAATTCTCTCCCATTCCAAGGTTTGTTGACTCATACTAATTATAGTGTCCTTTTCTGTGCAGAAATATCTAAATCTTTATTTAAAAAATTGGGTCATTGATAAAGTCATGATGGGGACCAACAGTTGGTGTAATGGCTATGTCACTGGACTCCCGTGTAATTGACCATGGTTCAAGTCCTGAACCTTGTGGCTTAAACTCACACTGGGCACATGTGTGTGCATGCCATAGAGCTTGAGAGGAGAATGGAGGAGAAAGGACTTTGGCCATGTCTTAAATATTTTTTTTCTTTTTAAACTTTATTTATTTATTTATTTTTAATTTGACCAGAGAAGGAAAGAGCAAGAGAGAGTGAGAGAGAGGGAGAAAATGAGAAAACAAGCCACCAGGTCCAGGGATCAAACTGTGGTTGGCCATGTGGGGATCCAGCACCCCTATCCACTACACAACCTGCAGGCATCATCCTCAAATCACTTTTTAATACCAAAAATTAATGAAACTTCCATTGGCCCTGAATCAACCTGAGGTGGTGCAAGCAGGAGAGCATCACTGTGTGGTAGCTATATGGGAGGCTCACTTTCAGTTCTGGCCCCAAAGTTAATAGGCAGGGCACAGTGCTGGGCACCTGTGGTCCAAGTTCACTGGGAAGCTAGGCCAGAGAAACCATGACATAGAGAGACTCTGCGAAAAACACTCATATTTGTCTCTACCTTCCACATTTCAAAATGCTTTACATATGGTACCATATTTTATAAACACTAATAATTTATTAGCTATATATGATGAAGTATCTTTGCCTTGTCTATTGCCTTACAATGAACAGAATAGTTTCACACTGGTATATGTATCAGCCCATTTCTTTTATGATTTCTCTTCAATGTCTAGGAATTTGTTTTACTGCAAGGGCATAAAATTATTTCCCTATATATCCTTTTGAATAGTTAACATTTTTATTTTCACATTTAGTTATCTAATACCTTTATAGTTTACTTTTCATAACCTTATGATTTATTTGCTATTATTCTAAAATAGAAACTAGTTGTCCTAGCACCTTTTATGTTTGGCAATTTTCACTGAATTCTAAAGTTCTGTCTCTCTCTTATATATCTATTATACCCCACATTTCAGTTGTCTATCATTATGTCAACATAACTTATTGAAATTAGTAAACTACATAATATATCCTGGTATCTGATATAATTTATCCATTCATCTCGTTCTTTTTACATTGTCTTTGTTCTGCTCATTCAAATTATTCCTGATAGGTTCCTTAAAAGACTCTATTAAGATTTTTGAAATTACATTGACTGCAGAGATTGTGTTTCAAAAAAACTGTCATGTTTATCAGACTAAGCCTTCTATATATAAATATGGTTTATAATTTCACTTATCGCTCTTTTTCATGCCTCTGGATAAAGTTTTGATAATGTTTTTTTTTTAATTGCACATCTTTAATAGATTAAAACTTCAGTGTTTTGTGGCAATGTGAATAATAATCTTTTTCTAAACTACTGTTTTTTTTTGTGTGTGTGTCTGTGCCGAGTTACTCTTTTTTTTCTTTCACATTATTTATTATTTGTTTTTTGTATATACTTTCAATCATATTGTTTGGCTTACAATGAGACCATTTCGATATGTGCACATTTCTCCCCAGACCCGTTAATCAAAATATCTTTAACAGATAACACCACACCTCCACGTCCGGTCAATGCTACTTCTTTTAAAAGTAGTTGTTAACATTTACTGAACTTTCTTCCATGTGATTTCAAGCAATAACAACAAGCCCTTTACACACACAATTAATCTTAGCCCTTCTGCAGAAGAATGTGGTCTCTGTGATGACAACCTACCATGAAAACTTTCTGTATCTCAGACTTTGTACTAGCCATAGAAGAACAGCCTTAGTGGAAGAAAGGGTTTACAGTGAACCATGGCAATTACAAACTCCTTGATGGATAAAAAGAAAGATCCCTGCCAACTCACACCTTCTATATCCCAGGTTGTCCATACTTCTTATCTGGTCATTGAGGAGGCCACTGATTGTCCCTGCCAGTGGATCCAAACCACCAGGTTCTTTCCAAGGACTAAAGCACACCAGGACATCAACTGTGTCTACACTCTAGTCTTGACTCTGACCTAGTTTTTGAATGTGGATGCTGTTATATAGTAGTACAAAATTATTTTTGTCTTATCCTTGCTTTTTCTTTCCTTGTATTCACTTTCCAGATTCAAATTTTTAATCACTTTGCTGTTATTTTTGCAGATGATAGTTCTCCTCCTGTTTTGGTGTAGTCTGTCTTTTTCCTCATAAGTATTCCTAAAGAATATTTTTATCTAAGAATCTTTCACTTTTACCTATTGTTAATATTGTTAATTAAAATCTTGTTAGGGGACCAGCAGTTAACGTAATGGCTATGTCGCTGCACTCCCATGTAGTCACCCGCTATTGGAGTCCCAGACTTGGTGGCTTAAAACTCATGCCAGGCATATGTGCGTGCATGTCCTATAGCGAAAACCTCTCCAAAAAAAAAAAAAATCTTGTTAGACTTAATGTTAGACTTAAGTACATGACCTGACTATAGCTTGCAACCTGAATGCATCTACATTTTTGCATTTTATGATCTTCCTTCTCAGTTCACATGGCTTTTGGGAACTCAGTTTCTTGCAGGCTGCTAGAAGACAGATTGGCTGGTAGATGATGCTTTGTTTTATTTATTTTTTTTTTTAATTTTTTTTTGGAGAGGTTTTTGCTACATGGCGCATGCGCTCACCAGAAAGACAGAGAGAAACAGAGAGACAGAAAGCTAGAAATCACCCCCCCAGGGGGGATGGCCACGCCACAATCCCTTCTCCTCCATTCTCCTCAGAATCTTGGGCACACACGCACACACGTCCGGCGTGAGTTTAAGCCACCAGGTCCCGGACTCCAACAATGGGTGACTACATGGGACTACAACGACATAGCCATTACGCTAACTGCTGGTCCCAGTGCTTTGTTTTCTTGACCTTCTCCCAAAGGAAACTCCCCAAAAGGCAATTTGTTGAATCAAAACCAGCAAGGGAAAGGGTCTCTTTACAAGTTTGAAAGTTTAAAATTTTACACTGATACTTAATCAAGGTAGTTGTAATTTAGGGACCAGTAGGTCGTATAGTGGTTAAGGCGCTCAACTCCCACATGGCAGACTACAGGTCAAGTCCCAGACCTGGTGGCTTTAACCTTACACCAGGCACGTGTGCCTATGTGCCCAAGATCTATGGAGGAGAATGGAGGAGAAAAGATTATAGTGTGATCATCCCCACTGGCTGGGAAGTGATTTAGAGCTTTCCCTCCCTCTGGTTCTGTGTCTCTCTCTCTGGCAAACACATAAGCTCTGTAGCAAAACCTTAAAAAAAATCTTATTAACTCTTTCTCAAATTTAGAGTCTATTATATACAATTCAGTGTAGCATATTTAAGTGCTTTAACTATAAACAAATCAAATATGATAGTTTGCATGCTATTATGAAGAGTATAAGCATATCTATATACACACACATATATATATAATATATAATCACATTTGTCATAGTTGCTACCCACAATTAGGATATGCAAAGATATGACAGCAAAAAACAGAGAACATGGGACCACTTAAACTATTTCACATATTGTATTCTATCTCACATTTTCCGTTAGCAAACAGCCAGCTCTTCTTTAATTATTTATTTTTTATAAATTAATTTGAATTAAAAATAACTTTAAATTTATGTTGAATTGTTGTGGGGTACACATAAATTTCTAAAGCAGGAATTCAATGTGAATAATAACGTCAAAGAGATTTTCATTTTCGGGAACCAGCAGTTAGCGTAATGGCTAGATATCTTCATTTTCAATATCTATAAAACCAAAAACATAAGCACAAATGCACATGAATGTTTCACAGATGACTTAATGCAAACTTGAAAATTTTTAATGCACTTATTATTCATTTATTTGATAAAATATTTATTTATTTATGGTTTTTGCCATAGGGTGTGTGTATTTCCAGAGAAGAACAGAGAGATAGAGAGACAGAGAGAGGGAAAGTGAAAAATCACCCCACCCCTGGAAGTAGATAACCATGCTGCAGTCCCTTATTCATTCTCCCCTCAGGATTCTGAGTATAGATACACATGAGCCAGGCATGGTTTTCAAGTCACCAAGTCTGAAACTTGAACTATGGTTGGCTGTGTGGGAGTCCAGAGCCTTAACCATCTTAGCCACCTGCTGGTCCCCCCAAAATTTTAAGCTAAGGTTATTATTCCAGATAATACATTTAAGTTCTTTTATCATTCATTCACAAACTTGTCTTTTCTGGTCTTAGCACCAATTTATTAACTACAAATGTAATTTAATACATTAATTATTATTTTTATTTTTATTTTTTAAAAGTAAATTTATCTGAGGCTAGCAAGTGGCATAGTGGTTAAGGTGCTGGACTTCCATGTGGTTGACCATAGTTTGGGTCTAGGACACGGTGGCTTGAAACTCATGCCAGGTGCGTGTTCATGCATGCTCAAAATCCCAAGAGGAGAATGGAGAATGGATTGTGGTGTTGCCAATTTCTTTCTCCCTGTCTCTATGGTGAGCACACATGCCCTATAGCAAAAATTTCTAATAATAATAATTTTATGTATTTATATCTTCCATGAGAGAAAAAGATAAAAAGAGAGAGAAAGGAAGAGAAACAGTCAGTAATAATCGGTTCCTCATGCCTCAATCCACCTCCCACCTCCGCCAACCTGAATGGTGGATACGTATGTGCCAGGCGTGTACACAGAGGCTCTGGGATGGGACCCAGGGATCTTCACTTTTGTGCCTTGTGTTACTGCTGTGGCAGTTACTTACCATTGAACCACTGACTACTTTGTGCCTTGTGTTACTGCTGTGGCAGTTACCATTGAACCAATTATTATTTATCTGTTCCTAAATTAAGGACCTTAATAAACATTTATGTTTAACACAGCAAAAATTCTATGGGTCACATATAAAACATGACAAAACTATTGTAAAGTTTATCTGTGGAAAATTCAAAAATAAATGTGGCTGATTACACACACATGTTAAGTATAAATACATATTAAAAGAAAGTATGTACTTGTCCATATAGATGTCAAGCTTTCTATTAAACAATATGAGTTTTAAAAATGTGGTATTGATCAATAACTAATATACCAAATAAATAAAAAAAACTTCTATGAAAGATATTTTATACATAAAGAAGAAAATAAAAATTAAAAGGAAACTATAAAAATTAGAATAACTATGCAGGGAAGATGACTTTAATCTTTTTGACATTGTCCTAATATAATTCCAATATAATTTTTAATGGCAAGAATTTTTTTAAAAGGAAAAATTTTAAATTAGTATTCTAATGCACACATATACGATATAAATAGATGTCTCATAATAGCTATATGAGCAATATGCTAGTATTTCTGTTTCAGTGCTGTAGGAGAGTTAATGGATTTTCCCAATGCCATATGTCTAGTAAGAGCTAAGTGATGATTAGACACAACTACTTAAAATATTATCTCTTGGTATGTTTTTAATATATATGTTGTGCACTAATTTGTGAAGTGTATACATATATAATATGTATTATGGAGTTGTGTACTGTATATATATGTATTTGTAACATATGAAGCTTGTATTTACATATAAAGTAACAGCCAATTTTAAAACTAATTGTTTAAAAGTTTATTTATCTATTTCATGAGCAAGAACTAGAGAACATGGACTAGAGAGAGAAAGACAAGGATCCTCAATAGGATCTTACACTGTGATCCTCACCCCAGCTTTCCCAGCCAGCTAGGACCTGGGGGCATGCACTGTGTCCGGTGTGTGTATGACAACCCGGAACCAAATTCTGATCTTCCATATGGCTCCTAGAATTTAGAGGGTTGTAGTACCACTGCACCACTGTGACTGAACTTTGAGATGAGCAATGAAATCTTTTTCACATTGCAATTCAAGATCTACCTGAATTCCCTTAGCCATAATGACAATAAAACTATTCAATACCTAGTGATGCTGGGCATGATCTTAAAATCAATACCAAGTTTTCATATAGCTGAAGGTTTTCAAAAAACAGAGATCTTGACAAAGCATTAAGCAAAATTAAATGAGGTAAATTATTTGGCACTGTGAATAAAAATCAACCATATTGAAGAAGAAAAGAAGGAGTTTACTAATGAGATGTCATAAAAATAACCGTAGATATACCTGTAGCAGAGACTAACATTTCACTCAAAATTTAAGACAAGCAATCAGTCAAAAAAGCTGCAGGAATTTATTGGGGAGGTAGACATAGATGCTGGTACTTAGGCTTAAAAAAACACGTTCCAGAGGTTTAAAGCAGTGTGCTAAATCCACCTTGCATTACTGACTGTCAGAGAGAGCACAGTAGGATAAGAATGAAATCCAGATTCCTAACCACAGAAGTAGGAGTCATTGCCAAGTTAGTAATTACATTCTATTAATGTGGACTATAATCTAAACTATTGATTAAAAACATTTACATGCAAATAAACTATGTACACATTACTATAAATACATGTGCATTAATTTATATTTTAGTCTTTTTACTAATAGAGTGAGAATTATGGTTAAATAAAAACTCAAAGTTATAGCTTTGCTCAATAACTTGGTGTTTTGCTAAATAATTTTGTTTTGCTAAATAATTTTTGGAGAGTAAAAATGAGAACAGTTAATTTTAATTCCATTGTACCAACAAAATCAATAAAATGATTTTCCTGATCACAGGTTTTGGGCATGATCTTAAAATCAATACCAAACTTAAGGAAAATAATATTTGGGAAGAGAGGGACAATAAGTATACATAATGTATTTTAAACAAAAAATTAATTAATTCCAGTGATGTTAATATTTAGAATTCAGAATCTGGCTTTAAAAAATAAGTTTTTTAAGACTAATCAAAATAAACAAGAATATTCAAATTAAGAGTGAGACAGTATATATATGTATGTATATGTATATATCTCACATATAGTTTAATTAAAATATAAAAAGTGCACATACATTAAGATGTAAGATCTATTAAAAACTAAATTTCATGAAAATTAACAAGAATATAATAAAAAATTAACCAA